ACCTCATCAACCGGAAGGAATCCCTTCCGATTGATGAGGTGTAACAGCCCCATCGACCGGAAAGGGATTCCTTCCGGTCGGTGGTATTGTTGTTTCTTATTGACCAGAAGGATTTCCTTCCGGTCATGTGGGAGCGACTCCCAAACCCCCTCAAGCATGAGGGGTGGTTTGGGGATCCGACTCCCAAAAATGCAAAAAAAAATATTAAAAAAAATAAAACATCATTGGATGGCCGACTCCCAAAGTCGGCCATCCATTTGGAAAAACGACTCCCATTCGACGTCGGACGACCGTATTTGGGAGTCGGCGACTAAAATTTGGGAGTCGTTTTTCCCAGCCCCTTCAAAGAATGAATATGAAAAAAATAACGACAAAAAAACAAGATTTTAAAATTTGTGAAAAAGATAAAAGAAAATTATCAACCTTTTTTTGAAAACTTGAATTTTTTGTCTGAGTGAAAAGTGAACACACAGAGGGCGATTAGTTTGGAACATGAGAACAATGATTATCAATGAAAAATATTGATCCGAAAAAAAAAGTTTGAGCATGGTGGGTGGACACCCTGCAGTCAAAATTAGTAGTAGATTGCAGTACCAGAATGCCACATTTCTTGAGGAATGACCCCCTAGGCACCATTTTTAAACCACCAAGTAGTCTGGTCATTTGTTTCCAAATTTTCACTTCTTAATTACTATCAATTTGGAGATTTCATCTTTTCCTGAAAGAAATATTAGAGCTGTCAGTTTTTGTGATTTTCTCCTTTTTACTTTTTACAAATTTTATAATCTTGTTTATCATTTTTTTTTTTTTTTTTTTTTCATATTCATTCTTTGAGACCCATTTTCCAACATTCCACCAACTATTGTGACTTGAAATGTTTGGGTTCCTGGTGTGGAGCTCAAAACAGATGGCTATAAACATCTGGGAGGAGACTGTACATCATCATCACCATCATGTCTTCACCTTTTCGCAGCATGACAAGCAAACAAAAGACAAGACACGCTGCACATTGAAAAAGAGTATATCATGGAAGAAGAAATTGCAGGTGTCTATGTATCTTCATCCACAGAAATTAAATTTATTGATCATTGCACTCATGAAATCTTCTTACCCAACATTCCAATAGTTAGTGTCAAATGTATTCTTTTCAAATGTGACTACGTTGAGATGGATTTATGGGTTTGTGTGTATATATAGTTGATATGCATATGTGTAAATGAATGGATGGATGAGATGAGATGGTATGTCTTTCTTAGGTCTCTTTCTGTGTTTCTCTACGTGATTGCTGATTGTTGACTGCTGACTGCTGACTGATTGTAGAAGGATTGTTATTAATCATTAAAAAAAATTAAAAAAGGGAATTTCTCTTGGTTGAAAAGTTTTTTTTTTTTTTTTTTGAAAAAAAAAGGTTCTATCATCAGTAATACATCCAGTGTCCATGATCAGCACTTGTCTTGTCGTCTGTCATCTCGACATCTTTGTACACCCTATAAATGTTTGAGAAGAAAAAAAAAAGTAATGGGTCAATTCATTTTGATTTGGTTGAAGGAAATCAACCGATTTGAACATACACCATTGGCTGATCGCTTCGTTGGCCACTAAGGTGATGATGGTATGCTGCAAATAAGAAGACGTTCCATTGGTTCCAGATCAAATATCAGAATACAGCTCCATCCTTCTTGAAATGAAACGCTTTTCTTATATGAAAGGGTCTTGGGGAGATGGGGGAAAAAAAGAAGGAAGGCTCACCGGTGCAATTCTGAAAAAGTGCGCGGTTGATCCCTTGTAGCTATATACATACAGTCCAACAATCCAGAAAAAAAAACATGAGTTGAATTAGATCATATCCCAGTATGATCGAGCCGATGTGATGATCTTTTATAATATCCAAGTATGTAGCCAAACGTCTAGAGAGAAGGGAGGGGGTCTTACAGGCCAGTAAAGCCTTCGATTTGGACCGTCTTCCATAGACAATCTACTGGGTTCTTGTACAATCTTTTCCCAGGTTGGTTGGACTGGTTGTACATTCTTGTTAGTGCAGTGTCTATTTGTCAGAAGTAATTTAAGGGAGAAGGATGTCGTCAGTCAATGGTCATATGAGAAGGTGTGCTATGAGATGCTGAAAAAAAAATGAGTGAGAGATGAGAATTGGATGATAACCTGCTGGTTGCATAGCTGTTAAGACGCAAAGCCCACTGAAAGAGCTGGAGGCGATGTAGAGCCAAAACGAGTCGGGTGAGAAGTAGGGGGCCAGATTGGTTTTGGCATAGTTGTAAGCGGGGAGCTGGACGGAGCTGCCCATGGCTGTCCTCATCATTGCGGCATCCACGCCGCGCATGAGGCCCTTGAAGCCCTCTGCTTTGAAGATCTGGTGGAGTCCGTCTAGGGCGGATTTGTATGCATGTTGGGTGGGGTGAGGCGACAGACTGGGCTTGGTTGAAGAGCTCATTGAACCGGCTTTTGAGGCCGTCATAAGCTTCCCCGCCGATGAATCCCGGACCGATGAATATGCCTGCATACGAGCTTTGACGAGGAATAACGGGTTGCCGAGGATCGCACCGATCACGCCTGATAATGCACCAGCTGAGACGGATGACCATAGTTGAACCCTGGATGGATCTTGTCCAGAAAGCGATCCGATCGACCGTCGTAGTGGCTCATAAAATCCTGTGATGATGAGTGAATTTTTTAGGAGAAAGAAAAATAATGAAGATATATTTTAGATCAGATCCCTATGCTTTCAGTGAGCAAAAGTGCCATGTGAGTTGATAAAATAAAAATAAACCAACTGCACCTAAGCGAGATCCGTTTAAAGCGAACTGGTATGTATACTGGTCCGAGAAATTCCGTTGCGAAAGGCAAAGATGGAATAAATGACGAGCATGATTGACGGTCAAAAGAGCGAAACAATCATCAATATGGGAACGACAAGTTTGATGGAAAAAAGAAACAAGAAAAATAAATAAAGCTCACAGCAGCGCCAAGACCTTTCTGACATGCCCGGAGACCTTCACTCTTAGCCGTTTTCGTCAGGACATCAAATGTGTTCGTGTACGCTTTCGGACTGCCCTTCGATCTCAGTTCCCCATCTAGTTGTAATCTGGTCTTGGCTACTTCCATCGGGTTCGTAAACTGGGAAAGTCAAAATTTAAAACACACGTCAATAACAAGTAACTCCTTCGTTGTTGTATGATCGAAGTCATTATTATGATTTTTTTTTTTTTTGGTTTGTTGAGAATGTTGATGAGAAGAAGTCAAAGGAAACGAAAACTATTTGGGATTACGAAGGCTACTGCATAGAGCAAGAGAAGGGGAAAAAAAATCAAGATTGGATGATCGAGACTGAACTGTTACGGCCACGCAAGCACCGAGTGCACCAGAGGCGAAACCTTCGAGGGTCGAGAGCTGATGAGACGAGGCTGCAGGCATGGCTTGGTTCTAAAGAAGAGTCGAGGTATGGTGATGGGTTTGATTGAGATGGTTGAGGTTGAAAGGTTGAGTGGTTTTTGACTGCTTGGGAGGACTATGTATGAGGTCGATGGGGCTGGATGGGCTGGGGTTGTTGCTGATGAGGAAGATGGAGAGAGATGGAGACAAGAAGGATGTGAACCCAAACAAGCGAACACATGGAAGAAAACAAGTCCATGGAACGAGCGTATCTCTTGTCGCCCGGAGATCTTCTTCCAGCAATCCAACAACAACAGCAACAAAAGAAGCTCAACCCTCTCGAACACAGTCAAACAGGAAGGAAGGGAGAAGAAGAAGACGAACAGGTTCAAACTGGCTAGTGGAAATCGACTCACATCACCATATTGCCTTGGTCAAAACACTTTATCAACCTGCAGACCACTCCTTCCTCCGAGTCATAACATCCATCACAATCCTTTCTGTGACAAAAACCCATTTCGATGGTGACCTCACTCATGGAAGTCACCTTCGCCGGTGGCACTATTCCTCGGCAATGTCCTAATTCTTCCTAGAAATCACTGTGCCGCTAACTCTCCCCTTGTGAGTGAAATGGCTGTCGGATTGTGCCGAAAGGTCCGTTCGAGCTGCTCTGATAAGCCAGAATAACTCCAGTTTTCGTGGAAGGTGCTCAATAGCAAGCTGAGACAATAGGATATAACCCCAGGGGCCAGAACCCAGACAAAGAGCACATAAATCTTCGCAAGATAATTGGAAGGGCCCAAAGGTCTCATCAACTCGGGAGGTCGGGTTTCTCCTGGTGGGCATTTTGGGCTCGGTTGTCAGCTGGCCAGATAGATGCAGGATCTTTAATCTACTTGTACTTCTCTCAAAAAAAGAAAAAGAACTGAATCGAACAGACAACCCCCAACAAACATGGAGACTTTCTAGGCTCACCCATGAACACGTAGAAAAATAGTATACTTAGAATCTATGCCATCAGATTCAGAACCCCCATCCAACGTTATTCCATCTTCGACAACCACAATGACCTGGATCAGCCTGGATCACAATTGAGGGGCAGAGATTAGCAACTTGCTTCGCCATGACGCTCTGAGCACTGCTCACACAAATTGTTCAGACCATTCATTCATCCATCCAAAACAGCGCAGTACCAGTCGGACGGAAGGTGTCTGCCAGCCGGCCTTCCTTGACCACAGGTCACCACTCATTTTCCCTAGATATTTTTAAACCAACTTTGTCTGGGATATGATCTGAAACACTCATTTTGAAAAAAAAAATATGTATATATACTTTTGAGGGGAGAAAAAAACACTTGGTTGTTGGAAAAATTTGTAAACATGCTTGGTTTGACTAGTATTGGTGCTGAGGAAGAGACCACCAAAAACAAGTCCAGCAATCCTCTGCGCATCTCCTCACCCAACTGTCCACCCAATCTGGGCAGAATGTTTGGGACACCAATGGTCCCATAGGAGGACCAGTTGATCCATTTACTTCAGTCAGGCGGACTAGGTTGCAGCAACCCTTCCAATCCTTCCATTTGGTTGAATTGAGGGGAATGGTTCACTCCAATGTTCCCCATACCTTCCAGATTCTCATTTCCTGCGATTAAATCATTTATGAAACCTAGGAAATGTTAAAAAAATGATGACATCCAATGATAGAAGATACAACTGATAAGAAAAAAGATAGTTGAATAATAAATCTATTGATTAACATGATAATTCCAAATCATTTGGTTGAATTCAAATATTTGGAATCAATTGTGAGACTTTATATCCAGAAATTACATAAAAAATATTCTCAATCCACTTTATCATTGTGGGTTCTTCTTGAATTTCTTTCAGAATTCTTTGAGAGTATTTCCATTCTTTTTCTGGATTATCTGCGGAATTGGAACAATTGTTTTGGATTTCAAGGATGTCACTCATGAATTGAAGTTTCTTTTGGAGGGATTGATCAGTAATTTGTTTGGGTTTGAATCCAACTACCATTGGCTTGTAATAGAAATTGAGAAACTTTAGAATGGCATAAGTCATTAGTAATTCAAATCTCATTTTTGTAAAACATCTGCCTGGTGGGTTCAAGATCATATCTGTTGAATTTTTTACTAGAGGCTGTAGATAGTGCTCTTTGATTACTTTTCCCTGTTTATCATTCAATTTCATGGCAAGGAGTTCTGCATCCTTGATAAAATTCCTGCTGAAAAACAGAAGTCTAATCTGATCAAATTGTGCACTATGCACTGGTATAACTGGAAACCTCTTTATCGCCAGTTTCTTGATTGCCTCAAGGGAATTATAGACGACCAGCCTTTGATCTTCATGTGGCATTCCTAAAATAGGTCAAGTGGAAATTAATTGTAATTTATGATCGAGAGACAATGAGGAAACAACATTCAGGAAAGGAGGGGGATTGAATATTAGCTTCTGTTCTTTCTTTGACAGGGTAGTCTGTATTTCATTTTTTTATTAACAAAAAGAAACCCACCTTGGATAGCTCTGTGGAAGTGTTCCACCGACTCATTGGTAGTTAAAAACTCTAGTGTAGGTATCAAGCAATTTCCAAAGCTAAAACCAAACAGATGGTGTGTATCAAACACTTTCCATGCAATATAGCACTGGACCGATTTGGAAACGTGGTGAACGTTCAAAGAGCGGATTTTCTCTAGCAATTCCGATGGCATCAACCTATACTTGATAGTATAATCATGTAGCAGAAACCAGGCTTGCAACATTTTCAACTTGAAGTGTGGCAGTTTGCTTGGGTTCTTCATCAAGTAAGCCTTGAACTTCATTGAAAAAATCCACCAAATCCTATCAATCATTGGGACTGAGCTCAAGTGATTGATTGTGCAAGGAAGGACATCGGGCAATCGAATATCTGCATTGTTGGCTTCAGTCATCTTGATAGACCCATTGTGATTCCGCTTTTTGGACATAAGACTGCCCACGATCCCGCTTCCTGTCCAGTGCTGTTCATATTTATGCGGTTTTCTGGTATTTGAAATTACAGCTGTGGTCGTCGTTGAAGAATCCACAACCTGGAGTTCCTGGCTCAGAGCTTTACCCAAAGTTGAAGGTGGTGGTGCTGTAACCGTGATTTCAGGGTGTGTTTTTGGGTGTTTTGGACCGCGCGGTACAGAGAGAACTTCCGTTGAGCCTCCGTACAGCTCAAACACTCTAGCTTGAGTCAGTTTCTTATAGAGGACCTCCAAATCATGCGCCAGATCTCGCATGTTGAGAGCTTGAGGTTGGGCTCGGGCGAGAGTTTTGAGCGATTTGATCCTCTTGTTAATCTTCTCGCCATCCCTTTTCATACAACCCAGCTCCTCTATGTGATGCCGATGGGGTTAATACGAAGGTTAGGCATGAAGGTGTAGTCACAATAGAATGGAAAACATTACCTTTATTTTTTATCATTATCGGGCGCCATCTTGCAAGCACGTCAGGCTCTGCTTGATCTGCTTTGCTGCATCCTTCTGAGCTGTCTGACATGACCTCAGAAACAGGCTCTGAATCGTGACCAGTCTGAATAGTCATTTCTCCCATGGGCAAAGCTACAGTAGAGGGACAGAGAGAGGCAAGGTAAGCAAAGAGAAACTGTAGGAGAGGAAAGGAAAAATAAAAATTTACTCGTAGACGTTTTAGCTATAGAATCAACCGGGAGGGTTAGTGTCAGTTGAATGTATCCCAATGTGTTTAGAACAAGACAAAGTAAACTTTTCAACGAGTTAATCATTTTGGTTGAGTGTCGAATTACCCGTTTTCTATCCCCATTTGAACCCTTCCCTGAAAGATCAACATTTAGCTGATTGTCTTGGGGGGGACAAAAACATATGACCGGTAAAGTGTTGCCGGGTAGCCGTTAAGATTCACTGCGCTTCGAGGAAGCTCCATTACAAATCACAAAAATCCGTGATACAGCCAGCTACAGGCACCTGTGATGCGTTGTGTCAATGGATCTCAAGTCATGAGATGGTACTCAACAAGACGCAGTAGCTCTCAGGCGGCGACGGGACTTGTCAGAAAGCGTTACAAGGCCCTTATTGGAGTGAATACCAAAACAATACTACCGGCAAATTGGATTGGCCATTTCGAAACGGTGTTACAATATTTGTTCAATCAGTACTACAACAAACCTTGAGTTCACAGAGCTGGCTGGACAGGCTCAAGCTGGAAAACATTTGATGTTTTAATTAATTTTTTTGGATCCATCAATTCTTTTTTTTTTGCATAGAATATTTTGAAGGTCTTATCATTGATGCGACAACATTCAAGAAGTTTCTATCAATAAATCAAGCCAAAGCTGCCTCTTTTTGAACTTTTCGTAGGATGTGTGGTGCACACAACTCACTGTGCCCTATGACAGGGAAGGGATGTTCCTACAATAGCTGGGGAATAGAATATATTACAATCAAATCACATGAAATGGGTCCAAAAAAGGGGAGGGTGAAGCAATGAAACTTATGCATGGCCCCGGAATTTGGGGGCTGGTAGATTTTGATCTTGATGATTACCTTGTCATTCAATTTTGAAAGTCTTGCAAACAAATATGAACTCCTGTAACAAAAATCCTCTTGATTATTCAAATTCTCTCTGGTGTGTTCTTGTGAAATTCAGAACTAGTCAATTGTGTTGATTTGTTTTGATTTTGCTCCCTTGAGTCACAGCAATTTTTTCAATAATGTAGTAGAAATGAACCCATGTCAATCAGTTTTTTAAAGCATACCTGAAACGGGGGTATTTATCTTTTCAGCTTGAGATAAATTACTGAATATGACAATTAATTATTATAAAACTTTAGTGGAAATTTGAATAGTTTTTACTGATTGATCCTTGTTTGCAATTGATTATGAGCTTTTGGACTGGGTTAGACTCAAGTCAAAGGCCTTCTTGAGATTGTTGGGAGTGCTCTCTTGTATGCTGTGCCCAGTCCAGATGGCTCATTTCAAGAAGAAGAAACTGTATTATTGTAATCAGGATGTAGGGGTAAAAAACATCTATTTTACGGCAAGATAGGTGAAAGCAAAGATCCACCTTGTCTTGCAAGTTGCATGAAAAGAGCAGTCCACCAAGCATTTTTCCGAATTGGGGGGCCTAACTGAGACTTGCGCTTCGCGCGGCGTACATGCGCAGCCTGTAGGGGCTTCCTTCAGTTCGGTTCGCGGTAGACAAGGGCAAATTCTGTCCACAGTTGTCAATCGCTTGGTTGCTTTACTTCAATGGTACGAGCCGTATCTTTGCTTTATTTTATTCACAAGAAAGAAGAACTGACTGAATTTTTTATGATCGATTGGACAAAAAAACCTATCCTTTCCCCCCCCCCCAGTCGCGAGTGGAATTACTATCTTCAGGTGGTCTCCGATTGGACAATAGAAGACCATACGAGTTACGGTCGATCGATTTCAACATTTTACCGAATCCACCCGTTGGATGTGACTCAGTGGCAAGGGTCGAGCATGGTCTTACGAAGCTGATAGGGTTCGTTTCCGGACCTAGAGATTCTGTCGAATCCAACCGGACCGTCGCAACAACTCTCGGCAATCCTACCTCAAATTCAGCCTCATCAAATCTCAACAATAACAATAATAATCAGAATGGATCGATCTCCGTTCACATCTCAACAACACCCTTTAGCTCAATCGATCGGAAGAAAATCGGAAGATCGGATAAAAAATTCGCCGATCTCGCTCAAGCTATTCAAAATACCTTCGAACCTGTTGTGATGCTACATCTTTACCCTAGAAGTACAATCGATATCTATGTTCAAGTTCTCCAACAGGATGGAGGTTGGTTTGATTGAAATGTCACTTTTCGTCGCTTCCAACTCGTAGTTTTGCTTGCCTCAACTAAATTATCTGCAATTTCTTCTCACGTTTCAGCTCTCCTTCAGGCAGCAATCAATGTCACTACCCTAGCACTCATTGGTGCCGGCGTATCTATTTCTGATTACGTTCTTTCAGTGTCAGTTGGAGCACTATCAACACCCTCGTGTCCTCTCTTGGATCTCACAAATAGCGAACAGACAGATCTACCGAACCTCACGATTGCTGTCCTGCCACGAACTCAGAAGCTCACCCTCCTCCAATTAGATACACGGATCAACATACTGACATTCGAATCCCTTCTGGAAATCGGTCTGGAGGCTTGCCTGGTTCTTCAGCTCGAAATGGATCGAGAGGTTCGGCGATGGGCCACTTTACTCAACTCTTCAATTCATAACTCCCTTGACTATAAATCTCACTCTGCCCAAGGTCCTGTTGCCGATCAAAATCCACAGATCATGATGATAGATTGAAATACAACGAAGAAGAATCTATCTGGATAAACTGATGGGGTGCTTGAATCCCATCCAAATTATGTTCCACTCAAACACATTAAAATTGGTTGAGTGTAACCCAGTTGAAGGGGTATCCAACCCACCCACCCAATTATGATGGCAGTGTACAATTTTCCTAGTCTGTAAGGTAGAGAAGAAGACATGAAAAAATGAATAGCAGGAGAGATCAAAGCTGGTGAGAATAGTGAACCCTGGAAGTGCAGTTCAGCGATTTTGGAAGGCAGAGGAATTTAAACAATATGTGGAGAGCGTATATAGGCTCTGACCAACCTCCCTAATGGACCGATTTTTTTCCTCCATTGTGAGTGTGGAACTCAGGAAACTTGCCTGGAATATCTTGTCACTGAATAATCATTGACCCGTTCACCAATGTTGTGGCATGTTTCCCAGATCATCTAGAAACCAGAGCCTACTGGCAATGACGAATGAAGGTTGATGCTTGGCTATATGTAAAGTAGCCAGCCAGCAGGCTTATCGCATTAAGGGTCTTTTGGCGCCACTTCTGAGCCTGCATGATGCTCTGTGCCACACGGGGTCCACACTGCGCCTACTTATGTATCCATTCTTCCTTCCGCGCCGGGCTTATGGAGTCAGCGCTCTCCGGTTTGACCGAGGCTCCGGCCGGGTGAAACCGCCGCGCGCTCCCTCTTTATCTGACTACATAAATCCATGCAGCTTCCTTGGCGGTAGGTCAGAGTGATGCTGCCAGCTCCTCTGAGGGCCAAACTTCGTAGCCCTCCGGGTAAGGCAGCCATGCTAAGGGCCGAGGGAAGTGTTCCCGCCGTTGATTTGTCACGAACAGCCTCGAATCAGAACCTCCTCTCTTCTGTCGAGGACCGGCGGCTCCAGACGGATGGGGAGAGAAGGAAAGCACGGCAACAGAGTAGCTTCCTCCCAAAGCAGCACCCTGTATACCGAGATGTACTGGATGGCCATGTGCCATCTGGTCTTGTGAGCCTGTACCGGTAAACTCGGGGCTACGTATGCCCTACCGTACAACCGTACACCCCTCATGTACTGCATATCAATCTTTTGTAGTGTGGAGCACAATATCAACACCTTTTCTTGCCATTGTCCTACTTGGTTTGGAAAACAACCACCAGTTATTCGTCACCAACCTCACATTTACTTGCCCTCAATGATGAAATTGACACTACTTGTTGGGATGGTCACATTCCTATCCATGACCCCGTCGCACGCCTTCATATGTGATAATGCCTTCGACTTGCACGGTCCTACAACCCGTGGGGGTGAAGAGAGAGCCAGTAAGCTTCATTCTTGCCTTCCGAATTTCGACCTGTCCGATTTCGCGGCTAACCGATCTTCTCTCCATCCACAAAGCCTGCACCACAGGCTCCGTGAATCGTGCGTGTACCCTGGATAGATGCATCGTGCGTGGGCCACCTGGTACCCGCTCTCGATATTGTGAGAAAAAGACTTTGAATTTTGAAAAAATCCTTCTCTCAGTCTGATCAGCTTATCCATGGATTTAGTGCCCTATCTTGTATTCATCCGGTGTGTCGACAAGGCTAACCCTTCACAGAGCATCTCTGTCGCTCCAGTTAACTATCACATTCACAACGATGAACAACTTGGTGAGCACCTGAAAGATTCGCAATGGGATGGAAAGCTTTGATATCTGATCCGGAGCGGTTTACGTCTTTGCTAAATTCAGATGTGTGGGGTTACGAAGTTTATAGGGACACTAATATAAAGGCCAGTAAACTGGGTGCATATTTGTGTCCCAGGAAGAACCCGTGGAGGCCAGGTGAATTACGTTTGTTATACAACAAGCATTCTCTTCATTGTCATTGACTCGTTTTATTTTTATTTTTTACAATTGCATAGAATGCGACGACGACGCTTGTGTGCCCGCGTAAAATGAACCTGAGTGGACTGATAGTGATGAAGGACAACAAAACCTTCCGGGCCTTATTTTCCTCTTCTTCCTGTTTCCAACTTTTCAGCCAAGGAGTCAATTTGATTGGGCGAAGAAAAGTGCACATAAACAGATGTTCAGAGTTCATTATGTTTTTTTATTCTTTCCGGGATGAGTCCTGACCATGACAAGGGAGCAAAATGAGTAAGCAACACACCATCATCAGAATTCATCTTGAGGTTTCACTCCCACGTGTCTTTCTGGGTCATTTCAGTCGAGAGCACCGCCTCACTGAACGGAGTGGGTCTTAGTCCAATGGATCCCTGTGTGAGTGGTACAGAAAAGATGGCACAGATGACATGGCTTGGTGAAACATCTCCCAAGTTATGGAAGAGCAACTCAGAAAAGGGTGGTTGCTGGAACTTTAGGAGTTGTTGCTTTAATCTGGGGCTTACAACTGGCAGTTATTTCTCCCAATGGCCTGATATAAAGCTGAAACTTGACCTTGTTTGGATGGAATCATGAAATGCACCTCACATGAATGAGAGAAATGACCAAGGCAAGCATTGTGATGTCAGCCACAGTGTTACTTCATCTTGGGTTTTGGTGTTGATTCCTAATTTCGAAATCAATGCTTTGATTGGAATGGAAATGCAACATTCCAGAAAAGAGATACAACCTATACTATACAAGAGATGTGCGTGCAAATCCAGGCGAAGGTGTAAAAGATTTTAACTGACCCTCAAGAGTGGCACAGTTTCAACATTGAACTCAGTAAAAAAATGAATACAACGACTGCAAAAAATGTGGATATTTCAATCTTTTTACGTCAAGTCAGGTCATTTTGTTACATATGAATCAAGTTTTTCTCTGTCCAATTATTTTTTCCAGGGATTCAAATGAAAAAAGCACACAAGAACCAGTTAGAGTTTTGGTTGAATGAGACGAAAGTTTGTGAAGGGATGGGGGCTTTGGGGGAATGTGTGTGGGGTATAGGCCACCATCACTGGCGTCAACACTCTCTATCTATGTGCATATTTTGAATCAATCATCCTAGATTCCTTCCTACTTTCCATCCGCGTTTTCGAAGATGTCTGACAATTGGTGGAGTGATCCAAGCTACAAAACGAAAAAGTTTGAGAATGAATCGTGTAGAAGGTTTGTGATGATTGAATCAAATTCAAATTCGAGTTTATGTGTGGAGGGTGTTCATTTGCGCATACCGGAGAAGACAATAAAAAGAAAAACAAGGGAGGTTGTTTTAGCAACCAATCAAACAAGAAGGAGAGAAGGAAACCCAAGATGAATGGGGTTGAAAGCGACGTACCGGTAAGGCCGATCCGAAAGGGCAAGAGGATAGTTTTATGGATCGTGTAAGCCACTACCGCGGTAGTCCATAGCATATTATTATCGTCCCTCTTTGTTGCTTCTTCCCCATCGGTAGTGGTGTTAGTAGTAGCAGTGGGTGATGGCAATGGGCTAGTAGAATGAGCTCGTTTCCAGTTCAATTGATCGAGTAGCCAGTCTTCTGCTTTCCTGACATGCTCCGCGCCCACTAAGTAGATCGTCACAAACGATAATCTATAACATCATCATTTTTTTTTTTTTTCAAATTTAAAGATTTTGATAAGTTTTCGTGGCAGCAGGCTTTTCAAAGAAACCTACACCCATGTTTTTTACCATCTATTTTTATTTGTTTAGAGTTCTTACTTACCCAAAATCGATCCCCCCAAGAAGCCCATAGACAACCAGCGCAGCGCTTCCATAAAGCTTGGTCAATTGTCTCAGTTTGCCGAACAACCCGACCGGATCTGCCCGTTCTTCGCCTCTGAACTCGGACGATTTCTGGTCTTGTTGCTCTTGTTGTTGATGATGATCAGTAAGTTTGCTGAAAAAACTTCGTAATGAAAAATAGGGAGAAGATGTCGTTTTGGGATAATGGTCGATTGAATGAGGCGTTGGGTTTGAGGATGAAGATGATGCGGATGATGATGATGGTGATGGTGCTGTGATGGGACTAGAGGATATCTTGCTGAACGGCAAATAACGGAGCGAGCGATGATTGGAATGGGGGAACTCGGTTCGATCAAGCAGACGGCGTCCTTTCCTCGTTTCCCACGTCTTCGTCAATCCTGCTCCGGATGAAGATATGCCGTTGGAGTATAAACGAACCAGCGGCTTGGAGACAATCCATTCGATCCTTCCTGTTCGTATCATCGTTTTCCGGGTCTGGGTTTGGTTTGGTGTGGTGTTGGTTTTGGTTGGAAGGAAGGCTGAGCTGAAGTTATAAGGGAGAGTGTGCTGTGAAAATGACTGGGATTTAAGGTTGCGTGGAAATCTGAGGTAAGCACCACCACTCCACTCCAGCCACCACACAATCACCAAAGCAGTCAATACTTACGCTCCACCATCTCAACAGCAACATCATCATCACCAGAAACCGAAAGGGTCCAGCAGAACAACAAGAACACAAGAACACAATGGCCCATCCAATAACGTAAGCCACCAGACTTTAAGATCGTAATAGCATTGGAAGATGATCTCATAGCTGACCCAGCTAATATTGTGTATATTATCCAGGATTGCAACGTGTTCTCTAAACCAATGGGCTGTCAGTATACCATAACGAATCGTCAAAGGGACACAGAGATATCTAACTAGACGATATCCTTTTTTCTGTCACTTGATGCTTTATGTAGCTCGACTTTGATGGCAATCATCAGAGGATATTGCAATCGATTAAGCTGGCCAAAGAGGCCTCAGCTTCGATCAGAGTCGGCCCTGAACTTGAAATCTCGTCAGTCAAGAATTCAGCCCCACCTGCATTCTTCAATAAGAAAAGATAAAAAGAAAAGATCATTGAAATGAATTTATTGACTCCCTTCAATCTGTCTTGTTGCATAGTGGCTATGGTTGTTTTGATCATTTTCTAGAAGGTATGTAAGATCTCAAGTTTCTCTCTCTCAAACAAAAATGTTTGCAATTATAATAATTAACACCATTTGGTTGGATACTTCTAACAGCGGACACGGTAACACATTCATGGGAGGTATTAGCCAAACTACTAGCCTCACCAGAAACCTTAGACATACTGTGCGATGTTGGAATGTTGAGTTTGAGGATTGATTTCTTGAGAGATACTGAGCTTTTTGAGGAGGTGGATTGATGTTGGGATGATCGATTACAGGCCAGTGATCCATAGAGGGGTACTCTATAACTGTCGGGTGCTATTCTATAACTCCAAAATCATCCTGGTCAGGCCCAAGATGTGGATGGCCAATGACGGAAATTACAGGTATGAAGACTTGGGCAGATTCCTGAACCTTCTTTTTTGATAACAATCATTGCAAACAAAATCCCTAATCGCACACTGTTTCCTCCTCCTTTACGATTCTTAGGGAGTTGAGGTACTTTAGTTCGTGGAGACAAGACAGGAAGATCGAACAACTCTTGCTTCCCCGGGAGCTTCGATTGATTACCGCTCAAGTTCAGTCCCCAGAAAAGACTCATTCATCCCAGAAAGTTATTGCATCATTGACACCAACTCATTGATTTGAAAAAACAGACTTCAGTGCCCATTGGACTCGCGATCATTGTGACAGACGATACTTCGATAGGGATAGAGACTTGTGAAGAACTCTTCACACCCAATTCGTCAGTACACACCTCAATATCTTATCTTCATCCAGCTTTCGATCGCTCAACAATTCGATCCGATTCAGACCTCATATCCAACTGAGTTTAGAAGGCGTCGAAATTTTTCTAAATTCTTCTGCCTCCCATCATGAACTACGAAAGTTGCACACGAGGATTGAATTGATTGAGGAGGCCACCGAGAAGGTCAGATTGAGATTCGTTGTTTGCAGCCGGTACTGAAATTGAGGGAGTTGTGCATATCTATATCATAGGCAGGTGGAGTTTATGTGTATGCCAACCAACAAGGCTGCGATGGTGATCGGATATACTACGATGGATGCTCCTTAATCTCTCTTAACGGGAAACTGATCAGCCAAGGCTCTCAGTTCTCATTGAAAGATGTTGAGGTGATTGTGACGACCGTTGACCTCGAGACCGTTCGGACGCATCGGGTTGGAAGGAACAGTCGGAACCAACAGGCCGCGTTGAACATCGCTCCCCTCGGCCCTTACGAACGCGTCTATCTCACCGCTGATCTCACTAGACATCCTCCTCCTATTGCAGTCGGCCAACCCATTCCCGCTATCTATCACACACCCGAAGAAGAGATCGCGTGAGCTACCCGATCTCCTATCACAAGCTCATAATATTTGATTGAGGCTCACATCCTCACCCAACCGTACTGTTTTGATTTTTTGGTAGACTTGGACCAGCCTGTTGGCTTTGGGATTATTTGAGACGCAGCGGAATGAAAGGATATTTCGTTCCTCTAAGTGGTGGGATCGATAGCTGTGCGACAGCAACGATTGTATATTCGATGTGCACATTGGTTGCCAAAGAGGCCAGACTAGGCAGTAGGCCCACAACGACATCCTCTTGATTTGGATGTCTCCTAAAATTCCGTTTATTGATGCAGTGTTTCATAACAGATCAACAGGTCATTGATGATGCCGTCAGAATCACCAGCGAACGTCCTGACTATGTCCCCCTGGATCCTCAGGAATTCTGTAACAAAATCTTCCATACTTGCTACATGGGCACCGAGAACTCAAGTCCAGAAACTCGGAAGCGCGCTAAAGATCTTGCGAGTGCAATCGGATCGTAAAACACAACTCCCTCATCTCATCTTACACTAAAAAATCACAAGCTAATCGCGCGTGTTTTTTATGGAATCATTATTAGATATCATACTGATCTAAATATGGACGCCGTTGTTACCGCTATCCGGACCTTATTCGCAGTCACCACCGGTAAGACTCCGCTGTTCAAGATTCACGGCGGAACCCAAACTGAGAATTTAGCGCTTCAGAACATCCAGGTTAGTCTTTCCCTCTCTCTCTGTTTTACTCTCAAAGTCTCGAGGGGAGAAATTAAGGAACCTGTTTTTTTCTCCCTCTCTTGAATTTAAAATATAGGCACGGTTGAGGATGTTGTTGAGTTACATGTTTGCCCAGTTGTCACCGTGGGTTAGGGGCACCAATGGTGGTCTCTTAGTCTTGGGCAGTGCGAATGTGGACGAAAGGTCAATGCCAATTCTATTTTGATTCCTCTAAGGATTTGATTTTGGGAGCGTCCTCTTCTCTGAGTTTGAACTTGACCATTCTACAGTTTGCGAGGCTATATGACAAAATATGATTGTTCAAGTGCAGACATAAACCCGATTGGTGGAATCAGCAAGACTGACCTTAAGCGATTCATCGCCTATGCACAAACCAAATTTGACCTACCGATACTAGAACAGTAAGTCCTAACTTGGGTCTCTTTAGTTATACGACTTCGCAAAGCAAACAACTTACTGAGGCTTGCACGTGATAGGTTTTTGACTGCCGTCCCAACCGCCGAATTGGAGCCCATCACAACCGACTATGTGCAAGCAGATGAGGTAAGCGTCAAGATTTTAGTATGATGGAAGGGTCTAATGGTACAATTGACCAGGCCATGGATTGACTTTGCTAGGTTGACATGGGTATGACTTATGACGAGTTGTCGATCTATGGGCGACTGAGGAAGGTAGAGAAGTGCGGACCTTACAGCATGTTCAGAAGACTAGTCCAAGACTGGAACTCATTCTTGAGCCCTATCGAGGTCAGAGTCTTATTTTTTTTTGAATCTTGATTACGCGGTATTTGAGATCATCTGAAGTACTGAATCGGAAGATTTTATTCAAAAACACGTTTAGATTGCTGGAAAAGTCAAGCATTTCTTCTTTGAGTATGCCAAAAATCGACACAAAATGACCACGCTCACTCCAAGCTATCATGCAGAGACATATTCACCAGGTCATTCTTAGATACTTTCTCCATACAATCTTGATAAAAGCTCCACTCGATCGTCATGAAGAAGCTCAATTATTATTATTTTCGTGGTCTTCTTGCTTTGGACGTTCATACAGACGATAACCGATTCGATTTGAGACCGTTCCTCTATCCGGTAAAATTCGACTGGCAGTTTCGGAAGATTGATCAAGAGGCTGAGGCGATGCCAGATGAAAGTTTGAAGTTGAAAGCCAAGGTCGAATAAGACGCTGATCGAGCATCCATCTCTCTCCTGTTTTTCAGTGGCAAGTCTGCCTCATTTGACATCCCCCATTCATCCTGGCATCACTGGATTCCTGTAAATTGAAAAAATTGATTGATCTTTCTGTGCGATTAGGATTATCGTCACAACGGGGATATTAGTGGCTGCCACAAAACTCACATAGAAGGGCTGTTTTTTAGTGCTACAATATGCTTGTATTAGGCTTTCACAAAGCTCACCGAAATGTCTCAATCTATGTATGTAAGAAGTGTAGGAATGTAAACTAAACTTTGAGATGCGATGACAGTAAAATTGTATGGCTGTTTTCTGAACACTCTGATCTGCTGGACATCAATTGTCTTGACTAGCTACGAATCTTTCGTCGAAGCACTGACGGTGCAAACCGATTGAGGACTAGGTACTGATTTGAAGAAGCAGTTGCCGGAGTTGCTACAAAGCCTACAGTGGACTACGCGGATGCAGCTATTGAGCACATGGTCTGGCCACACGGCTCATTGACAGTGACCATCTTGTGATAACTGATTGATGAGATATGAGGTTAAGAGCCCTTCCAAACCAGGGAGGGTAACTCTATAAGATGTGGCGTTGATTAGACATTGTTATTCAGAGCCGCTTTTGCGGGGCAGCTGTGACGCGCCTTGACCTACTCTTGCTAGGACGATGCAGTGTCACTCATCTGTGAGATTGTGAGTCTCTTACATTTTTTCTTTTTGCACTAAAACACGCGACAACATCACAAAAAGCGATCTCATGGGACATTTTCTATCGAGTTATCATTTTCCACTATTTCGTCAAGGTAGACGACTCCATCAAAGTATTTACGAGTGAGAGTCGAGTCATCCAACCCAACTGGCCGGCAACCATTAGCATAATCAGTTGTTCGCCGCTTCGGCTTGCCCAGGTGAGTGGAAATGCTCTTTACTCGAGCACATACTGGTCCCTGTATAATGTCATGTTTCTGAAACAAAAAAAATGTGACTATATAATTTCTGCCGGATTCCTTGGAAGGGACGGCTAGATTTTCTTCGGCTCTTCACGTTCGACGGCTTTCTGGTATTGCTCTTCGACTGCCAACGCAGATATAGAAAGAAATGTAAGCAAATCGTGTATATAGCGAATCTGGTGATGTTCAGGACAGGACGACAGACCCGTGGTTTTGCCGTATAGCTTGTCCCATTCTGCTGATTGCTTCCGCCGTTCATCCACCTTACGCTTCAAATCCGGCGCAAGTTCCTGAATTCGACCAGGGGCGATTGGAATTGTTTAATCGTCAGTTTCTTCAGTCACAATACTTGCGTCCGACTAGGTCAACTGAAAAGAAAAAGCGCTGATTTACGTCATAAAACTGGGCTAGGAAAAATCGTCAACACCAACAAAAGGCCAGGATCCGATCAATGTGGTGCTCTCAGGTAGAATTCTCCCCGAGTAAGCTGGAGTGTTTTTCTTACATTCAGATGGTGTTGCAACTTGTTACGGGAAGGAATAAACAAGCATGATGTTCGTCAGTTTTTACATTCCAATGTAAGTACATCAGTATATCATTATTTTTCACAAGTTCATTCGACCATCATCAAGCATACTTACGTTTCATGATTCCCCAGCCCATTCCAGTTCCTGCGTGAATAAAAAATGCACCACCATCATCAGCAAGGAAGGAGCCGGATTAGCGCAGAAGGGTGTTGTCTGGTGTAGGATATGAAGTGGGTTCTTGGAGTGAGGCTCTCTCACCAGCTATCAATAAGCCCAAGGCTCTTCCCGGCGGCAAGCGTGAAGCCATCAAATAGTCCGTCGGTGATTGTTCGTCGGCGAGGATGACCCGGACCCCTCCTGGCCGGCGGGTTGAGTCTGGGCCGCTGCTCAGGTGGGATCTTCGACGCGTGACATCCCCCGTGACAGCTGTGCTGACAGCTCAGATCGGCCGCCCACTCCCACGCCTGCTGCTCATCGGTTTATTTAATTTATTTTTTTTTTCAGGGAGATTTCATTTGCCTGCTGCCGCCGGAAGGAAACAGTCCATACACATTTACATATTCCTCCAACAAGAGCCCCGTTGATTTGCAAAGCGACCGAACGAAGACCTATCAAGCAGCAGGCTCCTATGGCAACATCTTTCAACCCGTACCTATCGTTGAGTAGATCGAGCTTCCCCAGCATGCCTTTCCCGATGTACGACCTGTTGTTTGATGACGAGCTGGAACGTTTCGCCCTACTTTACGCGCTCCTATTCGAATCTGATGAGGACGAGGACGACGGAGAGGATGAAATCGATGAGGAGTTTGATGAGGAGTTCGACGAGGAGTATGATGATGAGGGAGAGGAAGAGGAAGAGGAAGAGGAAGAGGAGGAGGAGGAGGAGGAACAAGCTGACTCGGACCGAGAATGCACCAAGAAACCGTTGGACCTGACGTGGCTCTTCAAGTTACCGGACACCGAGTTCAGACAGACCACTCGAATGTCGAAGACTAGCTTTCTCTGGATCTTCAATCAAGTCAAGGACAATCCAATCTTTCGAAAAGATGGCGGACCTCAACTATCTATTGCCCAGCAGCTTGCACTGACGCTCGAACTACTCGGATGCAGTGGCCAAGACGGATCAGCAGGGCCACTGGCCCGTCGGTTGGGGCTCAGTCGTCGGGAAGTGATCAAAGTCATCTGTGCCCCCATGCAAGCCATCAACGCCCTTGCCCCGAAATACGTGACCTGGCCGAGCCCAAACCGGAGACAGCTGATCTCGCATGACATGAAGGAAGAAGGATTCGATGGTTGTGTGGGCTCGGTTGATGATCTAACCATCCCCTTATCCTATCCACTCGGCGAAGAATCCTTTCAAAATAGTCAGACCGGACGTTGCACGATGAATGTTCAGATCATCTGCGATTCTAACAAACGGATCACTGCTTTCTTCGCTGGCACACCTGGGGAATGGAGAGGAAGCTTGTCTTATGAGAAATCTTCACTACATAAGAACCCCAAGAAGTTCTTTGATCCAGGTAAAGAAGAAGTGTCACTTTCCTTTTCAGGTATGCCTTTTGAATCGAAGCCGAGGATCTAACCCATCTGTTTGTTATATGTTTCTCTGTTACCAGGTCAGTATCTGATTGCCGATTCAGCGTATCGTCCGAGCAGTACGATCGTCCCACCCTCCAACTCCCCGGGTCCGAAAGCGAAGACGGATGAAGAGTTTGACTTCTGCTTAGCCAAGTCGCATGTCCGGAGTCAGAAGACGATTGGGGCCTTGAAAGCCCGATGGGCATCGCTCAACGAGATCCGATTCTCCCGATCAGCCGCGACGAAACACTACATCCATTGGGTCCACTGTTGTATCATCCTCTATAACATGCTCGCTCAGTTCGGCGATCCCTGGGAACAGCTCGACGAGCATCCAACCTCCCCGCAAGCCTCCGCCCCCACCGTCCGTAACACTCGCGCTCTCGACTCCTTTCGCTCATCCGTCAAGACTAAATGCATCGAACATAATTATCGGACCGGTGTTCTGCCCATCCAAAAATAGTCTCTCCTACTATATGTGTGATCAGTTTCGATTCTCCTCTAGCCTGTCTTGCTGCCCAAGTTTCTCTTGAATTGTTGTATCTAAAATTGCTCTTCTTTTCTTCTTTCTTTCTTCTTTCTTTTGATTGATTGGTTGTCGTTCTTCCAAATATCTCTTCCAACCTGCACCCGCTTGTAATTGGCCCAAAATGAGACTGTAAAGCAATCAATCGATCTCGCATACTCGGGTTTGATATAATTTGATTTGGTATTACTATTATCATGTGTGCTTTTTTATTTGCGCGTTTGTGGGTTCTATGGGTAAGAGCACTATTAACATGAATGTGAGGGCATCCGCAACACGATGGGATTGCTCTCCACGCTCAAACCTGGGTGGTCTCCTTGTTCCAACACAGTGTATGCACCCTCTTGATTCTTGTGGGGTTCTTGCGTCCGGAGATCCCATCATGGCAACCCGGTGAGACATGCTTCGGCTTCCCGGTGTATGTATGTACAGTGAATCCGATTGTCGGTGAGTTTTCGGGTTTGAATTAGGCAATTTGGTGACCACGGGGGATCTCAGCTGATTACATAAGCATCGGCCATTGTGACGAGCTTTAAGATTGGAGAAGCACAGCTGCTGGAAGTTCAACTCAACCTCAACAACAACAACAAACAACCTTGTATCTATCAACTATCCGAACAGACTCACCAGTAAACTGATGTCCATCAACTAGAACACTCCTCATACGAACACACTCACACTCACCGGGAAGACCTCCAACCCACTCAGACAGTGACTCACACATTGACTAGAAGGCAATCAGCTTCAAACCGACCGTCTGGATGTCCTTCTTCAAACCTCTGGGCAAGAAAAATCGAGAAGAGGGCACTGAGAATCTATTCAAAAAACTCAACTGGTCTCACCATCTCCTCCAGCATGGCCAGGACTTCTTTTCCCCCTCCAAGGCCTTCGAACTTGGGATAACTGCCACTATAGTGAGCTTTGGGTTCACGGGAACCTACTTGATCATGACTCTCTTACTAACAAGACTGTCTCCTCCCATGTTTTTATCCATCCAGACTGCAATGGCCTACGACCCTCTACAGTCATTGTTGGCCGTCGGTACAGCTGATGGCCATTTCCATCTGTGGGGATCATCCGGAGTCTCCTCGTCTTGGCAAAATCGTCCTGCACACTCAATCAAATTCTTGACCTTCAAGTCTGGCTCTCCTCTGATATGTGCCATAGGCTAGTCTAATCTCTTCAAAATTATTTGTTGACAATTTTGGCTCATTCATCAATCCTTCTGGGGGTTTTCCAAAATAAACAAACAGATGTCAAAAACTACCTGACGGTTTACAATCTCTCTAAAATTCAAGACGGTTGGCCACTTCGAGAATTCACTCATTCAGTACGATCAACCGTAACGTGATCTACCTTCTGATTGATTTTCCAGTCGCGAGTTTTCTTTCATCAAGGTTGTTTCTGATCTTGACTTGCAATCTTCAAAACCCTTTGTTGTTATTTAGTTGCTATGATGTCTCCCCTGCACACTCTCACATGTTCCTAGGTCTGGAAGATGGCACGGTGGAATGTTTTGATCTTGAATGTGGAATTATATCTCCTTACAGGTTTTCATTTTTATTTTCTATTTGTTTATCTGACACACATTTATGAAAGAGTCTAATTCATCTTGACTGGTTCCGACAGAATTCGTAATCTTTGGTTTCAGCAAGAGGCGCTCAAAAGGAAAAGTGGTGTCCCAGGAGCACCCAGTGCACGTCATATGTGAGAGAGATTTTAACGACTTGATGCAATTCTACAGTTCTGGTTTGACTACAAATTCATCATTCTCTTTGTTTTTGGGTTCAGCCCGATGTGCACAGATATCAAAATCCATCCCACTGATATCAATCTGATCGTGATTGCTCACGAAGGCGGGATCTCACTTTATAATTTGAAGCAAGAGCACGTTGTCCGGACATTTGAATTGATCATTCCGCCTGGAGCCATTGGAGGAAACTCAGATCCTAATGATCCCTCGGTTTTCGAAGAACGTCGGCCCAATGTTACTTGCATTTGTTTTCGACCCGACGGTCTGATACTTGCAGCTGGCTATTCGGATGGTTGTATGGCTTTTTGGTCTGTCGAGGATGGCGAAATCCCCCTGTTGGTCAGAACGATAGACCGTGAAAATGTTTTCAATTTTGACTGGCAAGAGACGCCAAATACGGGACCTTCGCAGACATCATCGTCCTCCGACCTCCCGCCCAGAGAACCCATTTTCAGATTAGCGTGGAGTCATTCTCCAGCTGCCCAGAATAATGAAACCCATCAACCGGAGAAGAAGGACCTGATGAAGGATGGCACAAAATTAGTCATCCTTGGTGGTTTGTTGGTGAACGATCCTATCGGTGTTCATGTATTCCATTATCCAAAGTATTATCCGAACACCAAAACAACCTCTGACCTCGAGGTCCATGGTCGGAGCGCCTTGAAAGCTTCGATCGCGCCTGTTGGACACTCTGTATACCTGACCAATGAGGTTCCTGACGACTTCCTTTTGATACCTCGAAAAAGCCCGTACTTTGATGGTGCTGAAGACCCGCTGGCAATCTTGATCAGCTCTACTTGTAGCAAGACACATGATTGGTTTCACCCGGGCAATAGTTCACAATTTTCCAGCCGCACTGTCCATGGATATACCTTTCCTCCCAATACCCACAAGGAACCTCAAGAGTACTTCTTGCCTGCCTCATTTGATTGGATCGGATCTAAAACTGTGTTTATTAGTCAGTTATTCGACTTGTCAGAAATTGCTTACCAATTTTTACGATCTTCGAATGCAAATACCTCCACACAGCCCCAGCTCGATCCTCTACCTTTGCGCGGTGGCCAAGCCAAAGCATCGCCTCTGATTTCAGCTTCTCTTCAAGACGATTATCAACAAGCCTCTAGAGTCATTTCGGAATTTTCTCACAAGTATAGGATACTCGTGACTATACACCTGGACTATAAGATTCGATTTTGGGATTTCAGTCCTGCGCTGCTATTGCCAAAGACCCAAGGCTTATCTAATTTTGATGATCTACAAGATGAATTTGATCTGAAGGCAGAGTTTCCCCGTCGATTGGAGCATCTGACTGTTGATATGAGCGCTCTCTTCCGTCCTCCCTCTAGTAGTCAGCTCAATTTCAAGTTGGCCGCGCCCGTTGAACTACAGCTAAATCAAGAAAGTCTTGATCTATTGATCATTCTTGCCAACAGGGACTCTCTGCTGTATACGTTTCATCAACAAACTGCTGCGATTAAGCACATCATTTATCCTTCAGGATTGGACACGCCGCCCCCTTTAAGTCCGTCGGCACAGCCAATGAACCCTACATCGCCGCGGGTCGATTTGAGTCAAGTTAGACTTCCAGAGGTAATTGTGTTTCCCGGTCGCAATACGTTTCGCCAATCAAGCACGTACTCAGCGTCAGTTTTCACAAATGATCTGTCTCGCTAATGATGTCTCTGTACCGATTGATTTTTTGCAGTCACCGAATACACCCAGCAAGCGACCCTTACAGCTACTACAACTGGGAGGGAAGCCATCAGAACCTGCCGATAAAAGCCTTGAGATGACTGCCTTGACTTCATCTCAAGATTTTATCGTAATGCCAAGTGGATTTTCACCGACCGCATTGATTCAAATCACTGGATCAAAAGCACTCAACACTAGTACCAGTGGTCGGGGCGAGGGTCAAGGTGGTGTCATATATGCTCTGACAGACATTGGCTTTCTTGCCATCGCACATCCTCAGGAAGAGTGGATCAAAGTTGTCGACTTGAGGAAGTCCAAGCTGCTCTTTAATGATGTGATTCGTCATGAATATAAATCCAAATGCAAGAGCAAGGAAAATGCAATCTGCTGTATGCACTGGACTATCGCTCGTACAGAATCTGGTAAGCAACGATTGGTCTTCCTCAAAAATATCATGCATTTCCGATTAATCTGAGTTGTCTGATTGTTTCCCCAAAAGGTTCTCCTACCCTTCCTCGACTTTTGGTTGGTTATGCAAACGGAGTTTTTAACGTGATCAACTTGACTCCCTCTGATATGGCGTCAATTGACAATTGGAGTGCATCATCGAACGCCTCTGATTCGTTCAGATGTGATCTAAATCACAAAACTAGCACCTCAAATCATCCGATTTCGGTTTTCCTCTTCGACTCGGATGGACGTCCTTTACTAGCAAATCTCTCCAGCTTGCGACATGCACTGTCTCAAGATACACGCAGCAAAGCAGTTTTTCAGGACGATTCAGGCGGATCGCCCACAGTATCGCTGGACTCTGTTTCGATCATCGTTTTCTCGCAGTCGATCGTCGTTCGGATGAACCTCAATGGCCCGCAGCTCCTTTGTCGAGCTGATTTATCATCGGAACCAATCGTCCACGCTTCGACAATATCCTACCAAGGCTCGTATGCGCTCCTTCTGATCGACCAAAAGAGGGCTTGCCACATTCTGTCTTTACCCAAGTTGGAAACAATTTGTCGGACGTGTTTGCCAACTCTTGATGGGTAAGTTGATTGGACTTCTCTCCGCGGAACGATCAAGCTGACGTATTTGAATGTATCATCATAATTGTTTTTGTACCTCTCTTCACAGGGCCGGACAGATGGGAAATGTTTCTGTTGATGGCTCTGCGGATGTGCTAGAGCAGTCAAGCTCATCATCAACCACTCAATTGACTACACTGATTTTCGGTCGGGATTTGATGTATTCGCCGGCGCTGAAACTTCATAACCCGAACATTTCTTTGCCCGATCCGCCCAGACCTTACTCTTCACTCTTGACCGCTATGACGACCAATCTAACGCTTAACATAGCGTCCTGGTTTACTCAACATTCACATGCCAACGAAGCTCATGCAGGAGGATCTGGCACGACGAGAGTGACCGGTGCAGAGCTGGATTCGATCATTGCCGGACCGCACCGCCCAGAAGGCAAGAAAACAGTGCCCCAGCCTCCCCGGGCGACCGTGATTCGATCGAAGAGCTTCCTCCCATACCAACCTCAAGCCAGCCGTCGACGATCGCATTCCAAGGAATATTCTTCCAAGGACCGGGCCACGAGAACTTCAGCTACCACCAGCTCAGCATCCGGCGCCAAAAATCAGCTCGCCCAGAATATCGACGGCTTGGACGAACGCTCCGATCGGCTGCGGTTCCTTAATGAACGCTTCGACGACATGGCCGAGGCGTCTAACGATATGTTGAATCAAGCTAAACGTATCGCCCAGCAACAGGCCGCTAAATCTACGTTTTCTACTGGACTGTCGAGCGTTAAATCTCTTTTTAAATAGATCTTCTTTCTTTCTTTTTTTTCTTTTGTTGATTTACCTTATACCCTCTCTCCTTTTTTTTTGTAGCTTCTTCCTTCCTTCCTTCCTTCATTTTTTTTTCTTTCTTCTTTTTTTTTTTACGTTGTTGAGGGGAAGGAGAGATACAGGGAGGAAGGAAGAGGAAGAAATCTTAAAGCACTGGTTGCTCCGCACTTACCTATCGTTTTTTTTTTCTTTCTTTTTTGGACATGAATCAAATACATATCCATGATGGCTGTTTGTTTTTGTATGATTTACAAAGGTTGTTAGTAGTTCAGCCCTTTTTTTCTTCAAGTTGAATTGCAGTTTTTTTTTTGGCTCATGTATGTAAGATACATAATGTGTAAATATTTGTTGTATTGCATTCTCCGTCTCTCTCTCTCTCTGTATGTGTGTGTGTGTATTGGCAATTATACCAGAAGCAAGAAAATAGATGTTCCAATGCTCCCAACGGTGCCACAGAGACGATACGATACGGTATCAGGCGTTTATCTGTATCGTCTCAGAATTTGAATACCCAAAAATACCGGATTTGTGTTGTCTCACTTTCCTGAGACATATACATGTATCGTATTTGAAAAGTGAGAAATGTATTCTGTATCGTCTCAGATGACTGATCCCACCAAAACCGTATTTGATACTTGAGATATTTGGCCGTATTGAAGAAAAAACAAAAAAAAACGAAGACAAATTTTTTTTTTTTCATTTTTAAATCCAAATCCGATACAATGTATTTTTTCACCAACCAAGGAAATCTAACTTATCTAAGTCCCTGCCCTCCTTTGTCGGAGTGGTAAACCACTGGTCGCATTGCGCCGACCGGAGGGAGGGACTTACGACAAAAGGCGGCCCCGCGGCCTGAAAGCATTAGGAAATTTGGCGGGGACAATCTTGTAATCACCCCACCTCATCTTTGTATGATTGGATTTCCCTAATTTTGCGATTTTCTTGATCGCGTCACTTGTATCTATCTTTCTTGACCCTCCCGGTGTTGCCAGCTCATCAGCATGATAGGCAAACACTTGTTCCATGTCTCTTGGAGCCACGGAAGATGGCCTTTGCATCTTCCGGTGTGTTCCTGAGGTTCTGGGATCTTCGACCCTAGTGAGATGTATTCGGCTGGGTTTTGATAATATGTGGTTTCATGTAGGGTAACCCATGATTGTGTATAACATAATCACAGGACCCCATGACTCCCTATAACATGTTATGAGTCGATGATGTTTTGACATCACCGAAGAATTGTAGAAGCGGTCTACAAAAAGATTTTTGCTTGGCCACCAAAGTTTTGGCTGTGTCTTCGTCCAGCGATTCGGTTACAAACGACAATTAATCAGGATTTCAAACAATCGATGCAAGATTTCACATACTGTGCCCCAGATGGCACCAACAGAGGTCCAGAGCCATCCCCAAGAGCTCCTCGGGTGCCGATGAACCAGAAGCTGGAGACGATTTGTGCTTTGATAGAAGAATTGAACCTCACACCGAAGTCGTTCATGGTTGCATTTCTTGAGCAAGATCAAGAAAGCATGGCGTATAAACGTCGCTTATGGGCAACCGATCAAGGTTGGGAGTCAACGAAGTACTTGTTGCTCACCATCAAACGGCTGGCTTGCGCCCACTTTGACGGTCGGGTCCTCTGGGAAGATTTCATCTTATCGCAGGTGCGGTAGATTCTTTGATTGGCTTAATCAATCGAGACAAAGTTGCAGTTGTACTGACCTCCTGACATCACAGGCAATTGACATTGTTTCCACTCAAAAACCTATCACGGGCCCGGCACCACATGGTTCATACCACACATCGTTGACGTTGTCAGACTCGTTTTTCACCAAGGACGCACGGGAAGCTCGCAACTCAGCACTGACTGATCGGATGCCATTTCTGTATCGCTTGATTTGTGCTAAGATCCAGGGGAACAAGCCGATTTCAGAGGGGAATTCTGCTTCAGTTCGGCCACACGATCCAATTGAGGATGATTCAGATGATGAAAGCCAATCCGATCCATCAGACGAGCTCGTTGACTATGATGGCTCCATCTTGATGAAAAGGAAGGATCCAGCTGCAAGAAGGGCAATCCGGGTTCAGACGGTGAGGCCAAAGTGCTCAGAGGGTAACACACATACTGATCCTGCTTTCCATGTTTGCACACACAGGTTGCCCGGACAATTTGTGCAATGGTGGCCTTTAGTGGGAACCGCCGTCACAACGGTTTTCAGCTCAGTAATGCGCTTCTGTTCTTGGCCGGAGGGGTCACTGAGCGGGTCAGTATGTAGCTCAATTACATTGGGATCAGCTCATCTCGAAGGACAGCTCATGCGGCACTGAAAAGTCTGGGTGCTGAGGCCAAAGCCAAACTGGAATCATTGTACAGTCTCGGCAAGTCACCAATTGTCGCGCCCCTCCTGTGCTACGATAATTTGGATTTTCAAGAGAAGGTCCACATGAAATCACTTGGCCATTCAAGCCGGATGTTCCACGGGACATGGGGTTATGTACACACAATCCCTCCCTCCCTACTATCGCAACTGGATCCCTCGGAGCTGACGGTTGCGGCATTGAACTCGGCATTGCATCTGGGGAAAGAACTGAAGATCAGACCGGACATGTTTACTCCAACGCCAAATAGCACATTACATTTTGAATTGGTTTTGAAATCACAGATCACCCAAGTAATCCTGAAATATCTTGCTTGTGCCACCAACAGAAGGGTCCAGCTACATAAGAGTCCACCTGAAATCAATCCCATCGCCCCCGAGGACCCTAATATAACAATGCTTAAACTGATGGTTGCATCAGACAACTCCGCTTTGGGAGTTGGGGAGGTGTTCACTGGGGTGATCCAACAAAGTGGGCTCAAACCGGCCGACTTTCACTCCCGTCTTCAGATCATTGAGGGGGACCTGGGGTCTTGTAACATATTTGACAGTCTTCGAAAGCAACGTTCGCCGGCGTTGGGGGACCACAACAGTCTAGATAACATCCTTCCAATCCAAGCTGCCTCAGCGTGCCAGAGACAGCAGAGGTTCTCTAAGTTAATAGCGCGCTGGTACCGCCCGCGCAAGGGAAGGGCTTCAGCGCGTTCACAAGGAGCGGAGTGTATGACTTAGTCCGCTGCAGAGAGCTAGTAGTTAACGCTTCTGTACATGTTCGGCGACTGTAGGTACAGCCGCCTAGGCGCTTCCGGGAGCTGACCCCTAGGGTCTGCTCCCCAAAACCGCCGTGTATGGGGTGTAGGGGGCGTGTGCACTCGGAGACACTGTAGTGCCGTCCCGAGGGACCGGCTGTGTCTTGTCCGGCTAGGCGGAGGGTGTACGAGCGAGTCGCAGCGCCCCCAAAGCAGAAGCGCACACCGGAGTGTGCCCAGGGAGGTGTCAGGCCCACATCTCGAGCCAGGTATGGTCTCGAGCCCGACACCAACGCTTCTGTTCCCATTGGTACAAGTATCTCAGCGAGATTTAGTGGACGCGGTAGGAGCTCCTCGTGCGGTGGGATGCCAAGAAGAAATTTATTGCATCCACGCTTTCTCTAAGTTCCCAATCAGAGATAAGGACTCCTCCAGATCGAGCTGCGAATAGTCCCTGAGGTAGAGTTTATAGCAATTAGAGGTCCATCTTCCCAAAGCGCATATCTCTTCCACCGGGACTCCGATGGCGTACCTAAGCGACGTTCCTCCGACTCTGAAAGAATGACCGGTGATCCCTTGATAACCATGGCTGTCCCACACCTGTCCCAACGTACGGACCACCTTAGCCTTAACTAAGTTGACCCAGCCGGCGGGTGAATTGTACCCGAATAGAGGGACGTTGCAGGGCCTGGCGTCGGCAAGTCTTCTCTTTACCGCCGCCACGGGACAAAGCATGTGGTTCAGGCTTTGGAGGTGAATCGTTTGGCTGTCGCCTGGTGCGCAAGTTTTCGCTCCGCGAATTTCTAGAGCCGCAGACAATCCCAGTGATGAGCGGTGGAAACTGACGTCTGATGTGAAAAGGGTGGCAGACCATCTCAAGATCCCGTCTTCGCGTTCGCAAGTTAGCTCGGAGAGCCTAGCCATTCCCCAGAAGGCGACTATGGCCAGGTCGAGGACCGCCTTCTGATAAGAGTTGCCGGGGAGAAGGGACTCAGTCAGTGAGATGAGATGTTTCAGCATGACTGGGGCTTTCCGTGGTTGCTTGGGTGATTGTGCGTCTGCATGGGCGGACGAGCGTAACAAGACGGTGATTTTGGCCTTGGCCTCTGGAGGGTATACCGTGGTGTGATAGAGGTGCCAAGCTTGTAGACCGAACAAGTACTTGGTTAGCGTCTTGAGGGTTTGACGCCGCCGAGTTTCTCCCCGCCCAGAAACAGAATTCGTAAAGATCGGATGCACTAATCGGAAGAGTATACTCCTTCTCTCCTTTCGCTCCTTTGAACTTCGCGAATTTGCGTACTGCCGAGTTATAGCTGAGGAGAGTATTCCATTTGTATCCTCCTAGGAAGTGGATGTCTAGGGCGCTTGGCACTCTCGCGACACTTCCGAATTTTAGGAAGTCTTTTATTTTGGAGATATCCATATGGTGGTTTGTAGAAGGGGCAGGGGACTCGTGGAGATTGAGATTCATTACTAACGGTAGCCTCAGTAAGAGTATTTACAAAGGAGGGGGGGAAGGAAGCAGCTTATCGGAAGATGGATACAAAGGGGGGATCTAGTGTTGGAAACATGTACTGTTTAATCTATTGGTTAGGTCCCTGATGTGTCAGGTTTAGTCCCATCTGCTGGCCTGAAACATCCTCTCCTCCAAGTCTTCGGGGAGCTGTATGAATACCTGGTGTTTTTCATCGCGTCCGGTTCGGTCTCCCCTGGATAGGGCGTCGGCGATATTGTCGGCCGATGATACTCTCTTGGCTACGATATCTAACTGGGACAGGACTAACGTATCTTGGATGCGTTTCCATTCTTCGTTTACGTGGAAGTCTCTTGACCTCCTACTTCTTACTGCCTCTTCCGAAGTAGTGTTGTCAGTCCAGACAATCACTGTCTTCCCTTCTCTGATCTTTAGTTGGTTGATCATGATCAGACCAATCGTGATCGCGACCGTCTCTAGCCAGGCTATGTTGCGTCTTGGCGCCGGTCCTTCGTTCCAACCGGCTTTGAGTTTAAATTGGGCCCACCTTCGACCAATAGTTACGCCGATCCCGTAACTTGTCGAAGCGTCACCCATCCACCCGATTTCCGTTGGGTCCGGGTTTTGAATCAATCGAGTGTGTTTGAAAGCGAGTAGTGTCTTTAACCAGTACGAGAGGTCTTTCTGGACATCTGTTGGTATAGGCAGCTTTACGTTCCTGTGCACCCAGCTGCACATCCATCTATACAGCCCACACAGGTAGCACCTTAGTTGTGGCAGCATATACGAAACGTGGTTCAGTTGACCGGATAATGCTTCTACCTCGTTGAAAGAGAATTTTTCTCCTTCCTTGAGGAAGTCTCCTATCCGTTTGATTCGCTGAGCTAGCTTCTGTTCTGGAAGACGGACTGTTTTGTCTTGTGCGTTCCAAACGAAGCCGATGTATTTCTGTTCGTTCATGAAAGGGGAGATCTTGGTGGGGTTGGTTCGGACTCCAAGTTCGTTTGACCGCCTCACGATTTCATCCATTTGCACCTCCGAGTCCAACTCTTTTACAAATAGATTATCATCTACCCACCTGAAGACCGATACTAGATTAAATTCGGATAGCATGATGTGCTTCCATGCGTCTGCTGGTCGTCCAAAGGATCCGCAGCCCGCCACGCCTCCGAAGGCTATCCTGGTGTCTATTATGATGTTGTCGTTGAAATCTTTTAACATGAGAAACGGCCATTGGTTCTCGGCCGTGGGAATTTGGCGGTAAGCCTTTTCCCAGTCAAAAATTGCTAAAAGTGATGGCTTCTCGCGACTTCTTAGGAATCTTGCTACCGCTTTGTAGTCGTCCCAGGTCGTCTTGAACTCGTCCTTGTTTACAAATGAGTTGACCAATGGAATGTCTTTGTCTCCGTGTGGGTATGATAAATCATTGATCGCCCTTAATGAGCCGTCTCCATTAGTTACTGCCCCTAGCGGATTCGTTCGAAAGAAACCGTATTGAGCGTGTACTTGCTTAGCTGAGTATGGGCCGAACATCCTCCCAGCTTTTATCTCCTTTGCAATAGATTCTTCAATCTTTGCTCTGGCGAGTAACGCTGAGCTGTGATTAGGGGGGGCAAAGAAAGGTATCTTACTTCCCAAATTGTGTTGAGGGATGCCTTGACAGAAGCCGTGCTCGAAGCCAATAAGGACGTCTTCAAATTCTACTGTAAGATTTGCCTTTCTCAAGGCTTCTTTCCACTCTGGTACATTCATGTCGCATTTGATGCCGCTTGGCCAGATCGTTTGGCTAGGTGCCTCATCCTGATGTGGATCGGTTTCTCTCACTTCAGCACTGGGTTGTTCACTTAGGCTCGTCTCACTGTTTAGGGGCACGGGAAATTCATATTTCTTTAGAATTTGCACATCATGGGGTATGAGATAGGATCTATATACAATCGAGAGGAGAAAGGATTTTTTTTTTTTTTTTTTTTTTTTTTTTTTTTTTTTTGGACAACAATGTGACACCTTTTGCGGTTTGACTTGACTTCAACTGGATTGACTCAGGAGTTATATAGGGGGTTGGGGTAGAAGATAAAGAGGTGAAAAAAGGAAAGAGGGATTGGGTTGAGAGGAGGGAAAACGAAACCTACGGTCTGGCATTGCTGTTATGTTGGCGGTCTTGGGTTCTTCCCTGTCTTTGCTCCGCATAGTTCGGATTGAAATTTTTTCCTTGATAGCCGGACCCTCTTGCTGGTCGGTTATCTCTTGGTCTGGAGGGAAGAGAGTTACTTGGTGCAGAAGGGGGAGCTGGAGTTGACTTCCCGGCTGGTTGATGGCCTCCGGTCTTCTTAGCCTGGTTTGATCCAGTGTGTGGGTCCCAGCCGCTTCTTGCTCCTCCGGTTGCGTATGGGTTGGAGTCCCGGAAGGACAACTCGTCGAAACGCCTTGCTTCAGCATAAGCCGTGTCGTAGACTTCCTGTCTGAAGATGGAGATATCTGAGAAGGACGATACCCCGTTGCGGACCACCCTATGGTCGAGGGCGTTTGCTCGTATTCTGATGTCGTATCTGAGGGCCGTCATAAAGCCGTCTTTACGAAGTATCTTATCACAGTTGGCTTTGTGTAAGACGATCCATTCGCCTAGGGTTTCGAACTTGTAGACGTCTCGGATCGTTATCGTGAATTCTTCGTAATTTAAACTCCAATCACTATAGTTCATTAACCATTCGCTCGGGTATGGGTAGCCGGTGTAGCGAAGACCCTTCTCGGTAGAGTTGTCGTCTGTCTTGGTCCTTTTCTCAGCGTGATATGACAACGCCGCGTCTTGCCATGCTTTGTTGAAGATCGTGAGAGGGATTGGTCCCTTGAGCTCCGTGATGTTCTTTTCGAAGTAGGGGGTGAAACCGACATCTTCATGGGAGTTCTTGTCGCCCCAGTGGAAATTGGTGCCGCCTACTGTGGTATTCTTCCGGGTAGGCTGCTTGGTCGTTGTTACTCCGAACATCGAGTTAGACTCGGTGTTCTTAGCGGCTACTGGACCACTACATATCAGATTTGAAGATCGATAGATGTCAGTAATCTTGGGTAAATGTTTTTTTTTTTTTTTGCTTACCCGGTGACTGCTGCCGCGTACAAATTATAGAACATGTCGGATCGAGCTTTATCTCCCTCTTCCTCAGCCTGGAGAGCCTTCTCGAGGAACTTCGCCGTCGCTTCATCTCTGAGTCGTTCGGCAGTTTTTGATTCCAATATGATCTGGATGTCATCCTTATCGCTTACTAGGAGATTAAGAGGCGTTGTTCTATCAGCGCCATTTCTTTCTTTCCTTCCTTTTTTTTTTTTTTTTTTTTTTTTTTTACTTACTATGCTTGGCACCTAGCAATGCGGCAAGATTATTCGGTTGCTTGTTTGATCTTTGGTTGCCTTCCGCTTCGTTTTGAGCGGGTTCTTTCGCGTTGGTCCCATTAGGGTTTGACTTGGAAGGTCTGCTCCTCTTTTGGGTTTCTCGCGCGTTTGACTTGTCGGTCGTTGCTGCGGTTTGAGCTTGGTTGGCTTTTGGGCCTACGAGTGGAGTGATGGGTGGAACGGATGTGGTGTTTGCGTTGTTGGGTTCGGAATTTGGTGGGGTGGGGTTGGGAACAAGAGTCGATGGAGCTGCGGACGTTGTAAGACTCAAAAGTGGTTGTGAAACCCTTTTGCTGAATGGAGAAGGGTATGTTGGAGTTGCAAGCTCTGCCCTTCTATACTATCAGAATAACAAGACCACCAAGCTTAGCTTGGCAATTTTATATATAGTGATAGGGATAAGTTCGAGATGAAGCTGCTGATTGATATGTGTGAGGGTATAAAGATGTTGTTGACTGTTGGTTATATTGATGAAGTTGTTGTTGATGAATATGGTTCAGGGCACTTTTGGTTTATGAAGATGATAAAAGTGTTAAATCTGTATTTCAATGTATATAATTCTGAAATTGTAATGTGGCTATGACTTGTAGTTATGAAATAATATATAATATAGATTTATTTATAAGGGTGGTTGAGATGATCTGGTCCACTGGTGGGATGATGGAAGGAACAACTGGCAGGCAGAGGCCTCCTTATATAGACAAATGTGAGGGATTTTAGCCCCAGGGTACAGGCTGAAAGATACTACTACAAAGGGATGCATATGAATGAATAAAGGGACGCATATGTATGATCAAAGGGATGCATACATGCAATATCACTAATACAAAGGGATTCAAAACAACGTAAAGGTATTCAATTTACTACAAAGGAATCCAGTATGCAATATGCATCCTGTATTCATAATGACTATGGCTAGAGTGAAGAATCCAAGAAATATCCTGTGACAGGCTGAAATACGTGTAACTTCCAAACTATAAGAGATAAAGGTATGGTTGTAGTGGGTGACTAGGGGTTATTTTACCTGAGGATTCCATTTTTGATGTCATTTTTACCATATCTTGAATGAATTAAGAGATAATAAGAAATGGGTCTTAGTTAAACGACTCCCAGAAATTGGAGTTCTGACTCCCAAATTTCTGGGACGTCGCAAGGACCATCTGGGGACGCTCCTCAGGACGTCCTCGGGAGTCGGACCTCCAAAACCTTCAGAAGGTTTGGGAGTCGCTCCCCTAATGAAAAAATAAAAATAAATGAAAAATAAATGAAAAAAACAAGAACCCCCCGGGGTTTTTTGGGAGTCGATCCTCCCAGGAACCCCAGGGGGGTTGGGAGTCGGCGCCGGAAAGATGCCCTGAGCAGCCGAGAGGGATTCCTCTCGGCCGCTAAGAGTGTATGCTCTCAACGGCCGAGAGGGATTCCTCTCGGCCGCTGAGAGTGTACAACTCTCGCCGGCCGAGAGTGTACAACTCTCGCCGGCCAAGAGTGTACAACTCTTGCCGGCCGAGAGTGTACAACTCTTGCCGGCCGAGAGTGTACAACTCTCGCCGACCGAGAGTGTACAACTCTCGCCGGCCGAGAGTGTACAGCTCTCATCAACC